ACTCTTCTGTTTTCATTATCTGTGTAGTACTGGAAGGAGTACGCTGGAGGGAATATGCTAACACCTGTAACTTAGTTTTTAATGTGAATATGGATGATCTCATGGCTCAGTGTGGAATGCTAGATGACTGTGGCGGGAGGAAGAAAACAGAAGCCTGTGCAGCAGTTCAATATTAAAGTGTTAGGGCTTGCACTTTCTTCAAGGTGTGTGTATATATACAGAGTATATATGTGTGTGGTGTATAACAAAGGTGTAATTAAAAAAATAGGTAAATAGTGCCTGCTGCTCTAACCCTTCATTGCTTTTCTAGAATTCTCTTATGTTGCTCAGAGGTTGCTGAGATATAATTCAATTCAAGACTAATTTACTAATTAATTATAATTCGGTCAGATAATCAATAGAACATTTCTCTCCTTTCTACGAGCAGAGATAACTGTAATTTTTTCCTGCATTCTCATGAAGCTCATTAGCAATTGCTGTTATAAACTCCTTCTAGAGGCTCCAACCTACATCTCAGCTCTTCACACATCTAGTTGTGTGAACTTGGTAAAAACAAAGTCAAGGATGATTATCTGTATCAGGATAAGTTATGTGAATGAACTCAATAAAATCTGTCATTGGATGGGGAGAGGGAACAGCTGCCAAAGGTCATGCCTTTCAGGAAAACAGGTGGGACCAGTAAGAAGAAAATATGAGCCAAAAATCACACAGAGTTATCATCTTCTAGCTTAATGGCTGCCTTGTTCTGCCCAAAGGTAAAGAGCTAGCTATCAGTGCCATTTATCGGGTACACAGCTTTAGTATAAACTTGTTTAAAACCGAGTAGAGCCTCTTTTTCATCTTAATTAGACAATAACTCACTGATTCTAAGTGGGCCTTCATTTTCTAATTATTTAGTACATAATATAATGTCATTAAACATCTTTGAGTGGACAAGATTGCTCTAAAAGCTTCAGCTCCAGAGCTCCAGTATTAGGCTTTTGGCAATCATCCCTGTGTGTGAAAAGCAGTCAGTTTGTTTACCAGGAATTTAGATTCACATTACTGGGGGAATTAGCAGTGAGCTATTAGTCTGATACAAGCACTTAACAATAGCTGATCATCTCCTCCTAGCTCGCAGATAATGGAGGTGATCAGCTGTAAATGGAAAGAATGTAGGGCTATTTTCATGAAGGCACTTGGAGAAAGTGCTGTATCCTGTGACCTCTGCTAACCCTACGGTTTGCAAGAAATCCAAACGCCAAATCACTTCCTGGAGTAGAGCTAATCAACCACAAGAAGAGCTTCCATTAGAGGCAAAACCAAGCTCAAACGGCCTTCCCTCAGCTGAAAAAAACGTTCAGCCACAAAGTCCCTGAGGTAGGGGTGATTAGCCCCTGATCATATTTACCAGTACACATTTTGATGGAGGAAGCAACTGTAGAGCAGCAGCTGGTTCTCATTCCATAGCAGTACTGAACGACGGTCACGCTTAGTATCGCTCATTCGCTTCCTGTTTTGCTGTTGCCGTAGAATCACAGAATGGCCTGGGTTGAAAAGGACCACGATGATCATCTGGTTTTACCCCCCTGCTACGTGCTGACGACCAGCAGCCCAGGCTGCCCAGAGCCACATCCAGCCTGGCCTCGAATGCCTGCAGGGATGGGGCATCCACAGCCTCCTTGGGCAACCTGTGCCAGTGCCTCACCGCCCTCTTTGTGAAAAACTTCCTCCTAACATCCAACCTGAACCTCCCCTGTCTCAGCTTAAGACCATTTCTCCTTGTCCTATCACCATCCACCCTCATAAACGGCTGTTTCCCCTCCTGTTTATACGCTCGCTTCAAGTACTGGAAGGCCGCAATGAGGTCTCCCCGCAGCCTTCTCCAAGCTCAACAAGCCCAGTTCCCTCAACCTTTCTTCATAGGAGAGGTGCTCCAGCCCTCTGATCATCTTAGCAGCCTCCTCTGGACCTGCTCCAAGAGCTCTACAGGTAATGTTACCTTCCATTTTAGCAAAGTACCTTTCTATGATGTATCAGGATGCCTTTGCTCTTTGTGGCTGCTGAACCTGTAGGAGTGTCTTGTAAATGTGAAGTTGCCATACACTGTCAGCAGGTTTTGATAGGCATGCCAGGTTTCTGCAGCCAAACATTACATTTTTGAAGTAAAACAGTTTTTCCTGTATCTGCCATACAGATTGTGTCCCCTTTATAAACACCACAGCCACTTCATCCTTCCTGAAACATAAGCATTTGCTGTGGGAAGTAGGAATGATTTTAATGAGGTAAGGCCATGGTAGTTTGGGGAGTTGGAATTCAAGGATTACTTCTTGCATCACCTTGCTTGTGACTTTTGGCAGGAAATGTCAATCAGTTCTCTCACTTGTCAGATAAGATCAACTCATAGTGACTGAGCTCACTGCTCAAAAGAGAGCTGTTAATGTTCTTAGTAAATGCTATGGTAGGCCATGTTATGAAATCTAAAGCTGTGTCAAATTTCTAGATGCTGTGTCTGAAATCTGACAGTGATTTCTGTATAAGTCACTGTTGACATTACTTTGTAAGAGATTTCTTTCCCATAATGCCTCCAGCAGGAGGACACAAACACTGCAGCTCCTACTAAATGCACAGGAAGGCAGAAGACTTCTAAAATTGCAAGATAGATTTTTATTAGCAAGTCTTGGTATTATGTCACACTCTTATGGATTTGTATACACATCAGAGTGAGTACCTACCAATGCAGGTGTATTTAGAGGTGATTTTTGCTTCCAGTTGTTGATGACCAATTGTAGGAGGCAGCTGTCTATATAAAAGTGTATATGAACGTGGAAAAGGGACATTTGAAGAAAATGCTGTGTTCTGTTTAATTTCTGTCTAGAGCAGGATTTTGTCAGACTGTAAAGCATTTTCCTGTGTAATCCAGGACATGACTAGAGGCTGAAATTGCCATCAATAACCTTCTTAGTAGGGGCAAGGGGACTAGAAGTCCACAGTATGATGAATACGAACAACAAAATAATAATAGCTTTTCCCATATCAACCTGACTTAGAGCACTCAAGTGTGGAAAGAGGAAAGTTCACAATGCAGATGAATAGAAGATGGATGCTGCTCATGGAAAGCTATTCCATCTTTCTTATAAATGTTCACACTGATTTCTGGATTATTGTAAAGAACATTTTTCTTTTCCCTGTCATTCACAAGTAATCTCTGGAAATAACAGAACACACCCTACAGTTACAGCCCCACCATATGAAGAATGGCCAAATGTAGATCTCAGAATCCTATAATAACACAGGCAGTTTTCATTAAAGAGAGGTAGCAAACATAGAAACAGCGTTGTCTCTTCAATCACATAGCCATGTTTCAGCACATGGTGGGAAGTACCAGCATTCTGACTCCTCGTAGTTAAGATCATAGAATCACCACGGTTGAAAAAGACCTCCGAGATCATCTAGTCCAACCACCCACCCACCTCCAGTATTTCCCCACTAGACCACATCCCTTAGTGCAACACCTAAATCTTTTTTGAACGCCTCCAGAGATGGTGACTCAACCACCTCCCTGGGCAGCCCATTCCATTGGCTGACCATCCTTTCAGAGAAGAAATTTTTCCTAACATCTGGCCTGAATCTCCCCTTGAGCAACTGGAAGCCATTCCCTGTAGTCTTATCGCTAGTTATGCAGAAGAAGAGGCTGATTCCCCACCGCACCACAACCTCCTTTCAGTAGTTGTAGAGAGCTAAAGATCCGTCCTAAATCTCCTCTTCTCTCCAGATGACATGATACTTGTTCCTTTTGCATGAAAATGCGGTGTTGCATCAGGGGGACAGGTTCTATTGCATGCAATCATCTCCCTGTCCTAGCTGCCCAAGGAGATAAGAGGAGGCCAGAATTTGAAATGGCAATATTACACTGCAGAGACGGACAGCTACACTGAGGTATATGCAGCAATGGAAGATTTTCTAGTAAGAAGGGTCTGACAGTGAATGGGAACCAAAATATATTACCTAGTTGGTACCTTCGTGAGGTGCAGATAAAACACAGTGTAAAAAGAAATTGCCACATGTTCTGCATCTATTCTGGACTGCAATATTGCTCAGCTGTGCATAATATTGTCCAGATCTGTTGTATTTCATAGAATAAACAAGAGGCATTATACACATTATACACATACATGTGTATGGAGAAGCTGCTTTAAGCTGAGTTTCTAGCTATCCTGAAAGTGTGGGTTGGCTGATGAGGCAACTCTTGCACACAATTGATTGTGGACTATTAACCTATGCTCAGAAATCAATATTCACTTAACACCACATTCTAACAGGCCAACGTAGCATAAAATAACAGCAGTTACACAGTGCACACGTTTACATTCAGAATAAACAGATCATGAAGTAGAACTTGGCAGAGAAGGAGACTGGCAGGATTGAAAGGGGAAAATGGCAACTTCAGTGTGTGGAGAGGTACAAACCAGTTCCAGCTCCTGGAGGCTTTTGCAACTGAATGAGCTGTGGTGAATAGAGCATCACCTTCCCTAGGCATTCCTAAAAAGCTCTGGCCTGAGGCCTGGTAACATCATCCTTGGCTAGGTAAATTTACTAGGGTTGAGTAGAGGAATCCCTGCTATTTCACAAAACGCAGGTCTGTTGCTATCCATGATAAAGGATGATACATACAGTTACAAAGGGCAAAACAGAAAGGTGCAAGAACATAAACTAAAGTGTAGCGTCTTCAAGCTGGAATGATATTTTTCGTATATTTAAAAGAATGAACTGAAAAAAATATATGTAAGGGAACTGAAAGTAATTGAGAACTGGTGTTTTACAGGGATTTTATGCTCACTTAGCATTACTTGTAACCGCCCTGCAGTGAGGGCTCTTAATCCTCATCGTTGAATCACCAGCATTGGGAAAGACCTCCAAGATCATCTAGTCCAACCACCCACCCACCTCCAATACTTCCCCACTAAACCACATCCCATAGTACAACATCTACACCTTTCTTGAACACCTCCAGGACCACATTCCAGTGGCTGAGCAAGCTTTTGGAGAAGAAATTTTTCCAAATATCTAACCTGAGCCTCCCCTCGTGCAACTGGAGGCCATTCCCTCTAGTCCCATCACTACTTACGCAGGAGAAGAGGCTGACCGTCACCTCACCACAACCTCCTTTCAGATAGTTGTAGAGGGCGATAAGATTTCCCCTGAGCCTCCTCTTTTCCAGACTGAACAATCTCAGTTCCTTCAGCTGCTCCTCACAAAGCTTGTGCTCCAGACATTTTACCAGCTTGGCTGTACTCCTCTGGACACACTCCAAGACCTCCATGTCTTTCCTGCAGTGAATGGCCAAAAACTGAACACAGTATCTAAGGTGCAGCCTCACCAGAGCTGAATACAGGGCATATCACTTCTCTGCCCCTGCTGGCAATGCTATACTAGCATACTAGTATATTTCTTATACTAGCCAGGATGCCATCGGTCTTCTTGACTGCCTGGGCATACTGCTGGCTCATGTTTAGCCAAGCATCCATCAACACTCCCAGGTCCATTTCTTCCAGGCAGTCTTCCAGCCCCAGGCCTGTAGTGTTACCTGGGATTACTGTGGCCAAAGTGCAGGACCTGACACTTAAGTATGTTGTACTCTAAGCCTATGGAAGAGCTCCAACAGGTAGGGTGGTAGGAAACAGTGTCATGTGCATCCCTCTAGTTAGAAACAGAACCCCACGCAAGTTCTAACAGAATGCAGACTTGTTTTAAAATACTGTGGTTGAATATAAGCCTGACTGTCACTCAAAATGCTAAATGTGGCAGAAGCAATGGTGGGCACCAAATCTGCATCTCAGAGCACACTGATTGGAGGAAAGAGGGGCACAAATCAGGTAGAGGTTTTCGGTGACCACAGTTATAGGCTAAGGCTGTTCCCTTCCTCTTTTACAGAGGCTTTTTGTTTGTTGAGGGTAAATTAGTAGTGGGAGGTGCCTGGATATGGGATAAGATTAATAATATGGGAAGGAAAGAAGTCACTTATGCCAAGTTAAAGTGGGCTCAGCAACAGGGGAAGGAATAGAGACAGAGATGGCCAAGAAACAGCAGCTCCAGAATATACAGAGGAGGCCATAGGCAAACTGCTGTGTTCAGAGGTGTCTTGCTGTGTCTTCACTTCAGCCACCTAGGAAATGAAAAGGAGGAATGAATCCCAGTTAGTCCCATTTGTGCTCAAACACGAATAGCAGAAGGGCCTCAAGCTCTGGACGCTGATATGAGACTGTAGAAAACTTCTGCAGCCAGGCAGCACGGCCTCCAATTTCTGTTTGTCTGTGGAAGGAATATCTGAGTCAAAGCAGTCTGAGTTTTTGCATGCACATGGCATCCCTCACTTTGATGTCCAAAATCACACATTTCCAGGTACAGGGTTTTTGAACTACTGTCTCTAGGCTACTTGACCTGATACTGGAGGCAACAAAACAATGCATACCTGGGACATTTCCGAAGCAAGAGATGTGCTGGCGCTGTCTCCTTGGAAATTTAGGGAAGCTGAATAATATAAGTCTTTCTGTCTTTCCAGACCTGTCAGCTTCTGGTGCATTTGAGACCAAATAGCATTTTCTGCAAACAGAAGCAAAGCGAGAGTCTTATTGTGCTTTTCTTGTAGTATGTAGTATCTCAGGTGGGATGTTCAGGTTATAGGTGTATCTATAGTGCTGTGTGTGAGGCTTTTTGGTACAGCAGTAGGTAATTTAAATAGTAATCTTTTATCTAAAGATAGTTGATTTGTTTGATATACTTCAGAACCTTTTACAAAACAGAAAGTATTTAAATCTTAAGTCTGTTGCTAATATGCTAAGGAGCATAAAAGAAATACTAACTTCAGATTATATACATCATAGAATATACCGAGTTGGAAGGAACCACAAGGACCATTGAGTCCACCTCCTGGCTCTGCACAGGAAACATTTGGACATAGCCTGATTTTTGGAATTGCTATGCTGCTGAATCTGACAAGGACTGTGACAGGAGCTACTCGTCTTGGCAAAATAAGGGCCAAAGACGAGCACAGGACGATCAGCAGGCTGGAGCACCTCTCCTATGAAGATGGGCTGAGAGAGCTTGACTTGTTCAGTCTGGAGAAGAGAAGGCTCTAGGGAGACCTCATTACAGCCTTCCAGTAAAGGAAGATTATAATCAGGAAGGAGAACAACTTTTTTAGACAGGTAGATAGTGACAGGACAAGAGGAAATGGCTTTAAACTAAAGGAGAGGAGATTTACATTAGATGTTGGGGAAGTTTTTCACTGAGAGGGCGGTGAGGTGCTGGAACAGGCTGCCCAGCGAGGCTGAGGATGTCCCATCCCTGGACATGTTCAAGGCCAGGTTAGATGGGGCCCTGGGCAACCTGATCTAGTGCTTGATCCAGCAATTGGCAACCCTGCCCACGGCAGATGATCTTTGAGGTCCCTTCCAACCCAAGCTGATCTATAAAACTATGAAAGGACTGAGAGTGGAAACCAAAACACCATAACCCTGGCATTGCTGGAACTACTCAACAACCTATAGATACAGCACGTCTGACCTCCCCACAGTATTGCTTTTTTGCAACTGCTTCATTTGAATGTTGTTTGTAGATAGCTTCCTAGTGCTTGAGATGAACAGAAGCGCTGAATAAAAATATAGAAACACTTTCAAAAGCAGATCCATGGTAGTCTTGGAGGTTTGTTAGGAGATCATGGAAATGCTGCAGAAGACAGAAGTGTATGCTAGAGCAATGCAGCGTAACATCTTGAAATCAACAGGTTTTGAACTTCCCCGTGCTGAGTTGTTTCCCCAGTTCTGCGACATATTGCTTACCAAGGCATTTGTTGTTCTCAAACATGCCAAGTATCTGGTCACACTTCTCCTTCTGGTTGCCACTGCTTTCACAGGTACACCACAGGGAGACCTCCACGCTGGAGTTACTGATGTAGTTGGGTGTCATAGGCGTGCCTGTCCCAAGCCCCCAGAAATGGGAATCAGGATTTAGTTCATGAAATGAAAGAAGCATGATGAGTCCCCTTGTCCTCAAGGCAATGCTGCCCTGGAGGCAAAAGCCTTCCATTACTCAGAAGTCACCTTGCAGAGCCCCTGCAAGGTGACCCACATCTGGTGAGCCTACATGCAGTCTGCTGCTCTGTGAGAAAGGGTGGAGATTGCTTCCCCTGACTCAGTCAATCTGATGATGAAGCACACTGATAAACCGAACTTTGTGCAAACATTGCACTGAAGGATGTGAAGCATCTGCAGATTCAATGGCAGTGCTGAAACATGGCTCTGCTAAGTCTCATGTAGCTGGCAGCACTCTGTGGCCAAATGCTTTTTTTGCCAAACAAGTGCTACACACCTGTAGTGTGCCATTAGAGCACTGAGCTTATTTGGCATGAAAACAGCAAAGACATCTGGAAAACTAGAAGATATAGTCTAGAATTACAGCTTCTGAGATAGTACGGCATTCTGTAGCTCCTTTGAGCCACTCTGAAAAAGTAAAAACAACTTGGCAGTTAATACCTGTAACTAAAGACAACCTTCCATTCATCAGCTGGTAGTGCTTTGTGTTACTGTTGTTCTCACTGGCTCTGAGAAGACAGTGAGTATACAGTGTTAAAACAGCATGAGTATAAACGTCAAGCAACAAGGGAATGTCAGCTTTACCTATGATCTTACAACTGAATTCTGCTGTGACTGTGAGGCAGCTCCAGCAGCAAGAATAACTTAATCCATACAAGTTGACAGAGACTCTGCGGATGGGTATTTAGAGCACTTTGCATCAGCTGGTGATGCAGACAGGAACGCAAGAGTCCCAGGCAAGTGCTGCTGCTTTGCCAGCAGAGGATGGGACAAAGCAGAGTGATAAATGCCACAAAGGAGCTCTCTTTGTGCTACATTTACCTCAGAAACAAGTGGAAGCACCGGCATCCATTAGGCTAAGGCATGTTCATTGGCATGCTGAGCACTATCACCCTCTTGCAAAGCAAGACAGACCCTCTTAGCATAACAATGAGGCTACAATGTGTTGCCTGCAGGTAACCCTTGATGTTCCTCTGGGCATCACTTACCAATCATCCCCATGTAAGCCTGCAGGCATGCAGCATGGTTGTGCTGAGAGCAACCATCTGGGGACATATCTGCAGGTTGGCAGTTTTGTTGGAAGTCAGCGAGTCGGGATCTGTGGGAATGAAAATGAGACTATCAGTGTCTATGTCTCTTCTGGTGGCCGCTGCCTGCTGCTGCCAGACATACTTGCAGATATGGTCTTCCAAGCAGGAGTCCAGAAGCCAAAGGCAATTGGGTTTGGTGCTATACTGAAAGGAGCAATCAGGAACAATAGTTTTCCGGCGCCGTTCTCCACAGAGTTCATCCTGACATGGACAGAATAGGATCCTTCTAGTGAAATCCTCAGGGACTTTCTCGAAGAAATTCCTTAGCCCTCGATGGCATTTGCGACGGTCACACATGTCCTCACTTCCTGCCCCTCTGGTGCAGATCGAGGCATAGTCTGTGCGCAGCCGAACACACTTCTTGCTCAAATTACAGACATGAGTTGCTTTCAGGCATGGGTTTGTTGCATCTCCTGCTAACTGAGAGCCTATGAAGCAAAAAAAAATCTGTAAACAAAGAAGCAAACCTCCAGAAGAAACTTCATGTAGGAGTAACCCTTATTTGATGGACAAATTGGGAACAAAGTCCTGCTATGTGCTCGTAGTAAGACATTACAGTGATGCTAGTTACAAAATCACGTTTTATTGGTTCATGTTAGGATGTTTTTTTTCAGAGAATACGTCATTTTGAGTTATTCCCTCTTTCATGGGCCTAGGTCTGTAACTGTATTACATTTAAGTGCAAATACAGGCAGGTATCCAGAGCAGGCATTCATCTGGTTGAAAGGACAATCACCTCAAATCCTTATTATTGATGATTTTTAGCCCCTGAAAAGTTAAGAATGGTAAAGAATTGTATCACTTAGCTGTTACAAGCTATTACCTGATACCACAGCTGCCAGTTCATTATAATCTGTTTTCCAGTGCTCTTCAATTGCTGGATTCTCATATGGAGAGGTTTCCAAATTGAAATAACCTGGGCAAGACACAAGGTATTTTATGCAATGAGAGATGTGCCAGCTTTTTTTTTTTTTCCTTTTCTTTTTTTCCTTATATGCACTTCTTCAGGCTGGAGCTGAGAGGTGCTCTGTTCTGTTGAAAGCCAAATGCCAAGAATGGTTCTGCTGGAGATGCAAAGGTGTGACTGTGTAGCACCAGCATTACATTTTGTCATTAGATTTCCTCTGGCTGGAATTTGACCTATGTTGAAATTAGCTTTTTGTCAGCCTCAGTGCTAAGGAGCTGTGCAGGACAGGTAGTTCCTGGTGGCAGGCCATTAGAAGCATCCCTAAAGTAAAGAAGTATAGCTGGAGAGAAGCAAAATGCTGCTCATGGATGCCATTACAATAAACTCATATCCTTTTTCAGTGACAGATGTAAACATTTTGAAGTGACTTACATAGAACTACAGTTAAGTAATTGTCTCAAAGTTGCTACCTTTGTTTGTCGGACTCCCTGGTGTGTTGGAGGGGCAAGTCTCAAACCAGATTGGTTTTCCATGCAAATCATACAGAGCAGTAACGACCAGGAGACCAAAGGGGTACCTCCAGTACTGGGAAGTGGCCTTTCACCAGTGCTATCAGGTGGGAGGGGCAGTGTTGAGCCTTACTGGTACCTTCCAAATTTGTATTATTTATCTCACCGTCTGTCATGCTGGAGTGAACAGTCCAGAAAATGCGCAGGCAATGCTCCTGTCTCTTCATGCGCCGATGGCACTTGCAGTGCAGTAAAGAGCTGTTCCCGAGGTACAGCTCTGCATTCAGACATCTGACCCTGCTATCATGATCCAGCCCGACGAAGCGTGTCTTAGCAAGGTCACAGTTTTCCAGAGTCCTGTAGGTGGCATTGCAGTTGGAGTCTAAGAGGCACAGCTGTTCTGCTACTATGCAGTCACTCCGTGGTAGAGCCAGGAAGTCTCCTGGTAAAGAAAGGAAAAGATTGTAAGGATTTCAATCATGATAAATGCCACACAAGCACCTTGTCATTGTTTTGTAGGCATCCTCAGTAAGAACTCAAGGGGCAGCACTGGTTGGGGTCTTTCATATTGGAGCAGTGTGGAGCAAGAGCAGTCTCCGTTTAGAAACAGAGGAATGACTCATTAGTGTGTGGAAGAGAGAACAAAAGATTAATGATAAATCTCCAACATTATTTTGTTTAATAACATCCCCTCCCTTTTCTTTAAAACCACCTTTAACTCTTTCAGCTTGGCTGGGATCAGGGGTGGCTCTCTATTTTCCTAGAGCAGTAAATCCCTAAGGAAACTTTGGCTTTGTTGAGGCCTTCTTTGAAGAAACTCTCCTATCTGGGTAATAAGAAGCTTAGTGCAATAAGCAGCACTAACACCACATTGTGGTGTAAGTCAGTGCTGCTGCTGTTACTAAGGACACAGGTCACTCTGAAAGTAATGACTCCTATTTATTTCTGCTGCAACTATGAAGATACAAAGCACAATAACACTATTTGATAGAGCAAATTTTCAGCTACAAAACACTATTTTTCAACACAGTCACCACCTTTAGCTATGCATTTTCATCAGTGATGAACTAGAGCCTATTTGTTGTGCTCATAACAGTCTGCATCAGGGAACGTGCCCTACTATCACCACTGCTGAAATGCACCACTCACTCCTTACTGTGCTGACATTTAGCAAGCATCAGTTAAAGTCACTGGGTGCAATGTTTTCCACATGGGGGAACTCAATTCCACTCCTTTGCTTCATATATGCTTCCATGTCAGAGACCATTTGGTCAGACTGCCCCTCTACTGCCATCTGTCACGTGGCAACAAGATGTAATGCACTACTGGTGGGACAGTTCATCCACTGCGGCCGTACTGCCAACATCTGCCTCTGACGTCGTGGACCAACATCATCAAATAGGAGGCATGACTTTTGAAGCAGCCCTCATATATGCCAGTCATTAAGAGCTGCACTGAGGAAGCCATTTGCAGGGTGTAAAAGCAACTAATTTGTTAAGTTGGGAAACTTAATAACAACTATACTTTTTTTTGCATAATAGAAGACACCTTTCATATTAAACACAACTCAGTATATAATCTTCATTTCTGTAGTATATGGATCTGTGTTTACGCTACGAGCACAGCGCGTCACAGAATGGTTTGGGCTAGAAGAGACATTAAAGATCATCTGGGTCCAACTTCTATGCCACAGGCTTAGATACCTTCCACTAGCTGTTCAAAGCTCCACCCAACTTGGCCTTGCAAAGACTTGGAATAAGAACTGCTAACAGAATTTACACATAGGCTAGTAGTATGTTTACTCCTTTCAGGACAAAACTGCATACCTAGCATCTACCTTCAGTGCTTTCTGGATGCGTGATCTCATCTGTCATTCTTTTGTTCAGCATATACTGTAGTACTATTTCTGTCTCTCTTCACTGAAGACTAAAATAAAAAATCTCTGTGCAGCTTTTATTATCTGGCATACTGTCTTCACTGTCTGATTTGTTTTCTCACTCCCTTCAATTCTACTGGCTTTATCCGTTTATTTGCCATATAATTCCACACTAGTCTGATTCTCAAACTTCCTATTCTGCCTTCAATCCAGTAATGCTGCCTTACGTGTCTCCGTCCCATTCATTTATATTTCTTGGCTTTCCTAACAACTTCTTTGTTGTTCATCTGGCTGTTACGTAACGACTACATGAGTTGGTAAGCTCCCTGAAAGAAAGACAAATCTCTCACCAGAAATGCTTTGTACCAGCGCAGTTGGTTTTAGTTAGACATTCCATCTTGGAACAACATTAACGAACACATGGGGTGTGATTACATTCTGTAAGGCTGCAAACAGTGCAAAGTTCCAGTAGCAATTTTCCAGCTTAAATGATTCTATGATTCTGCTACCTCCAAGGTTTTGCGATTCTAAGCTGAGCAAAATGACAGACCTCACAAGGCCAGAGCAGAGTGCCACTGCCCTCAGTGGCCGCAGTAGCTGCCGTAGTAAGTTCATGAAAGGACAGGACACACTGCTATGAGCACTGCTCAAAATTCACCATGGCTTGAAGTGACATTTTCAAACCTTTACAACGGTATCATAATTGACAGGGTAGGGCAGAGCTGAGTGTGAAGTGGATGGACTCTGTTTCTACCACAGGCTCACCAGATGTTTTGGGTGAAGCTTCTGGAAGCATCAAAGCAGAAAAGCAGTCCTCCTTAACTAACAGAATTTAACAGCTATGCAGCCTGAAGCCCTAGCACATAAAGTGTCATTGAAAAAAAAAAAAAGAGTCATCTTACTACTTATAATACCAGATAACCAGGTAAAATATCCAGTACTGTACTAGAAAGCTCTCTGGTCTAGGTTGCAGAAAGCACTGAATGTGCATGTGCATCAGAGCCCCTTTAGCTAAATGAAAAACAAAGTTATAATAATCACTTCACAAACAATGATTATTTACACCTTAAAAAAATAAAGTGATAGTTAATATAATGCCCATCTATTCTCACTTTTGAATCCACGCCCTATCATATACCTATGAAATTACGATTAATGTTATCATTATCTTAGTACCCCTTGTCATCCACACTGTGTAAGAGAGGACAATTACAGAAGGGAAACTTTTTATTTATTAAGAATAGATTTAAAACAAGCACCAGTATTTGGACAATGGAAAACTGTGGGAAATCCATTGTAGTCACGTGGCTGCAAATGCTACTGAGGTCTCAGTGCAATAGCTCATCTTTATCAGAGTCGTGATATTGAGCAGTTGCATTTTTTTTTAATGTCAAGCACTGACATCTCATAGGTAGGGTCGGGTGCTTTTGAAACTTCTTTTAATACTTCTTGTATTTTTTGCCACTGCAACCATGAAGACTGCACGAGAGATGAACGCAAAAGGGGAATCGTTTCTCCCCTCCAGATCTTGTGACTTGGCAATACCGGAGCACAGCGTAAGACAAACAGTTGCATCTTTGCAGGAGCTTTCTGGATTGGTGTTTGCAAACCGAGCCTCATCAGAATATCAGCCTGGAGCGATTCAGAGGGGGAGTGCATGGAAGATGGGTTTAAAAAAAAACAACAAACAACATTTAGCAAAGATATCTCCGGTCCCGCATCTCCTCCGAGAGCTAGAACTGATGCTGTCTTTATGCCCGAAAGGGACGCTGTCTTTACGCCGCGCTGAGGGATCAGCTCCTGACATCGGTCCCTCCCTGCCGCGAGCGAGAGGAGCAAACCGCCCTCCTTTACCTCCGCGAGCTTTGCCTCGAGGAAATTAAAATCCCTCCCGCAGAGCATCCAGCCAGTTTGGTCACATCGACACTCGCAATTCGCAGCGCAGGTCAAAGCAGCAGCGCGCCTTTCCTGCTTTGAAATATGGTTCTTCCTTCGCAGCGGAGCCGCTGCCGAGAGCGGACGGGAGCAAGGAGTCCGGGACGCACCCCGCGCTCCGCACAACCCAACCTCCGGACGGGGCACGAGGGGCGCCGAAACGTCGCCCTGCGCGCCTCTCCTGCCGAGCACCAGCAGCTGCTCGGGCCGGGTCGGAACGGCCACCCGCAGCCTCTCGCCGCCCGCCGGGACCGGGACGGGCACGCGCCGCCGCGAGGCTCTTCCCGCCGCGCTCTCCCGCCCTCCGCCCCGTGCTGTTCGTTACCGGCTCGGGAGAGGAGCAGCCCCAGGAGCAGGGCCAGCCACATGCTGCAGCTCGGCGCCGGAGCCGCCGCTCACATCCCGAACGCCGCCCGCCGGCGTGTGAGCGGCCGCCGCCCCGTCGAGGTGCAAACGGCCAGCACCGCCCCGCCGCACGGCCCGCCTCCACAGCCGGCGAGGTTGGGGCGGGGAGCGGCGCGGATGGACTCCCACCGTGTCAGCGGTGAGGGAGCGCGCGCCCTGGCGAGTGTTTTAGAAGGGGCTCTTTGGAACGGCGTTACGTTCGTTTGTGGGTTCGGTTATTGACGTCCTACCTGAGGGCAAGGCCGGGGATGCTCCTCTCTGCCAGGAGCGCTCACGTGAGGCTGCTTTGTTAAAAGAAATCGAACGTTAATCGGAGGAAATGGCCTCGGAGGGGACAGGTGCTGGCTAGTTCTTGATTCCCTCGATGCTTCTATTGTCTGCCGAAGAGATGGTGCGAGCTTTTGCCTCCTTCTCGTTGGCTTTGTTGTGAGAGTTCTTTCTTCAGAATCTTACAGTTGTGGGCTTGGCTTCTGTTGAGCTGTTTCATTGTGTCCTGTTGAGCAGGACACCTCTGGGAGCCTACTCAGCATTTAGGCAGCCGTGTCTCTTTTTGAACAAATCCTTCTTTTTAGTTTCCATACCAAGATCAAATGAACCAATGTGAAAAAAAGTAATAGTCTAACACGTACACATACATTAATGTATGAAAATAAGGTGAACTTCTGGCAGAACGGTTGTTTGTACAAGAGAGACCAACTCCATCTGTCCAAAAAGCCCAACAGAAAGAGTAATAACTGTGCAAACACATTAAGCATTCACAGTCCAATTCAATGCTGCTTTCTTGTTCCTGGGTTTTGAAAAAGATTTGTCCTTCCGCTTACTGTTGTGAGAGAATTCTTCCAGCTGTGAAGAAGTTACCCACAAACACTGGAGGCTCTCACTTCTTGTTCGAGGAGAGAAAGCATTGGCACCATTCTTAAAGCCCTTACTGAAGTCTAATGGCTGGGGGAACTTAAGGCAAACAGCGGAGGGAATGCAGCCTTTTTAACTTTGAGGAGAATTGCTTCAGTCATCGTTCAGGGAGGATGGAAGAAAGACTTGGAGAAGGAGACTTACTTATAAAAAGGTGTGAGGTTATAGCAGCACAGACATCCGTCAGTGCAGGAGTACAAATGCTTCAGGAGTGGATTAGCCAAGAACCAACATGATTTCTTCTGTAACAGAACAAGTTTTGTAGGGAAGAGAGAAAAGAAGAGCTCATCGGTACTGGGGATCGTTAAGAACAGCTTTCACCAGGTCAGTCTAACTGGGTACCAGAGGACAGATGCGAGAATCTTTAACAGTCCTTTCCAGGCCACTTTTCTGATCTTGTGATTATAAATCTTCATCTAAATCCCACAGAAGTAATTGATTAACTCAGTTCTGAGTTATTCTTTATAGTGGATAAAAATGGACAAGGAAATATTTTCCCTCCATATTAAATGCATTTGCTGCAGCAGTGCTTTCAGGCTGCCTTGATGAGTAGCCAAGCAGAGGAACTGTTGCTTGATGTCTGATGAAGTGCTGACCACTTCACTAGCCAGCACACCAACCTACTGTGATGAAAACATCCTTTTCTTGACTTCTGATTGCTCACGTGTATTTTTGCCTGGGACCCATGACGTATGAGGTTATTTGTTTGTTCTTCCCCATGCACACATACAGAGCAGCACTTTAACCTCATTACGCATCTCAGAGAGTTGGATAATTACCAGCCTCTCATGAGTAGTGCTGCCATCACTCTTTCTGTCTGTAGTTTTATAGGTTAACTCTGACCTATGGGAACCATCTACTAGCGTAATGTTTAATATCTCACGAATCGGTCTCTCCCTGATTCCCTGCCAGGTCTGGGCCTTTGACCTTCTTAAGCAGCTGTAGAAAATGTGATTAATGCTGATCTGATTTCCTCAGCATTTAGCCTCAGTTCCATGTCTTGTTATCTATTTTACTCTTATTGGTTTCACATAGGTCTTGGCTGGACTGGAGTAAGTGAGGTCATCAAGTCCTGTAATGAAACAGACATGGCTGTGGAATATAGGAAGTAAGTTCTTCTCAGATCTTTGTCAATATCTTGCCCAAAATGAAAGTGTTAATCCTGTGCGTAGTTTCAGGGTTGTATGAGAGTTAAACATATGCAGAAATTGGTCACCTCGTTCCTTTCCTTCTTGTCCTCATGGATTTGTTCTTAACATCTAGGAATGGTTTCAAGCTACAGCAGGGGAGATTCAGGCTGGACATGAGGAAGTGTTACTTTTCAGAAAGGGTGGTCAGGCACTGGAATTGATGCCTAGGGAGGTGGTGGAGTCACCGACCCTGGGAGTGTTCAAGGAAAGGCTGGATGTTGTGTTGAGGGACATGGTTTAGTAGGAGCTGTTGGTAAGAGGTGAACGGTTGGACTGGATGATCTTTTAGGTCTTTTCCAACCTTGGTGATTCTATGATTCTATGATCTAGTCAATGCCTCCTGCAGTAAGCACTGCTTTACCATCACTCAGGTACTCTCAAACATAAGCTCTAGAGATAACTGCTACTATTTACATATGGGATCCTGAGGAACAAACGTGCTCAAATTCATCAAGGAAGTCGATCTGCTTGTGAATTCTTTGAGTTCAGAGCTGTGCAGTCACACTTTTCATAGTCTAGAGAGCATTTGCACCCCAGCAACTAGTTGGAGGGTGTAATCACTGCACGTATATTTGTGATTGGATGTTATGCCAAAAGAGCTGAAGGAAACATTCAGTAATGTCATGGTCAAATAGGCACTCAGTTACTTTTCAACCAGAGCCAGTGTTTTAATAAAAGCTGTGCTCCCCTTCTTCTGAGCCCCAATCCCAGGAAGATAGACTTCTGACTGCAGGAGAAAATCATTTCCTCAGCTTTTATCGCCAAAGGTAAATTACGCCCTTCCTGACGCGCATTGAGAGTAAAGAGGACAGCTACGTACAGGCTGATTGGGCATCAGATTCGCATTGCCCATTTCATCATTATTTCATCCTCAGGGATGTTGTGTGGTTTTGATTGTTACACTCAAAATCATCAGCCAAAGAGAGCAACTGCTTTTACAGCAGTCAGGAACTCTCTCACTACCCTGGTACAATACAGGCAGCAAAACTAATACACACTGAATTTCCTCTCCTCACCACCTCACCTTCCCTCTGGAATACAGCCTTACTTTGCTTCTCATTTTTGTTTTATCATTCATGAGTGTGGAGGACCCTCTGGTCTTTGCAGTGCAGATTACAATCCAACAGCCGCTAATGGAAAATATTAGCACCAAACCTTGTGCAGAGGACATATCAAACCACCCCAATAGAAATAAAGTTATTTCCTATATGCACATGAACACACAGTATCACAGCTGCATTTTTCTATGACCCAAATGACTTACTGATAAGAAGTAGTAAAGACTTCCCTAATATTTTGGTGGCAGCAATTAGAATAAATGGATTAGCATAAATGAACTCTATAAAAATAGATCTTAGTGCCTACAACTTCATAGAAAAAAAAGACATTATTGAAGTTGGTTTACTGTTAAATTACTAACGGGAAATCAATATGCTGTTAACACATTGCTAAATTGGGACATAGAGGGATGTCTACTCCAAAGTCATTCCATGAATCCCTGATAATAGTTCACCATAAAAGCTAAGAATTTTGGACACAACTGCTTTTCTCTGAAGTGTCTATTTGCTTTTTACTTCAATATAACAGGTGCTTACTGGCATGCACATAATTTTGTTACATCTTCAAAGCTCCAACACACTTTGGACTAAAGGGGGATAATTTGACTAGCTGTTGATCTTAGAGTTCCAAGTGTCTACTCTGAGTGCTTGTCCATGTGCTACCTGTGAGGCTGTGTGTACCACATGTGATTAACCCAAAGACTTTTTATAGCGCATCTGTATTGTCTTTGTCTAATACTGCATTTGCTTTCTTCTCTCTACAAACAGCAACTCTGAAAACTGGAATGTTTCAGCTTTTCCAATCCACCTGGCTCAGTATTGGATGGGAAGAGGAGAATTAAAACAGCCTTTTGTGCTACGCCTTCATGTACTTAGTTGTGAGGGTGGCTGATGACGACATACAGCTTGCTTTCCTGTTGCTTTTGTGTTATACAGTTCATAAACTTATAGAAAGTCAAGACCAGAGCATGTACAAAGGCCTTTTGTTGCACTTCCTGAGGCAACAATAACTTTGATGAGGGTCCTGATGGCAGTGATCGCATAATTTAAATTGAGCGGGGTAGCCCTGATGAACGTCTGGTCATTGCAATAGCTGTACAGCTCAGTTTCCATGCTTCTCCACATTTTAGCTGAGAAAAATCCAGCCAGACTTTTGTGATGTTCCTTGAAATTCACTGAAAAGATCTCAGTTCATATTCATTTTGCTTTCAGCTTATGAAGAACTAGGCACAGCACGAGAGCTCATCTTGCAAGTTTGGATACATCTATGCTAATTCTAATCATAGACTAGGTGTGGAATAGATAATCCATTTATCATGCTGGTGCCGCTTGCTCACTGGTTGTTCCTCTCTTTGGCTGGAAGATCCCTGGGGTATCTGCAAGAGGTATTGTTTCACATTCCTCATCTGCTCAAATCAACAGCAATGGACCTGTCTTTTCTTTACTGGGGAGCCCTTTTGAATAAATCAAGAGCACAAATTCTTAGTTTCCTCCTGAAATGACTATCTAGCGCTGTACTAGAACATGCAGCAGTGTTTCAGTGATGTGCTAGCCATTTCTTCTCTGCATCTGGAACTGCCACTACCAATGAACAGTGAGACTGACTGAAGTATTTTCCTCGTTCTATGTTCTGAAGTGCAGTGTCTGATGCATGGACTCAGATGTGAATGATCCAGGTCTTTTATTATAAGTTCTCACATGACTTATATACATTCAGAAGTTTCCTTTTTTAGCTTTCCCATCCCCTCTTACAACTTTTCTATCCACCTTTACATATCGGAGCACACTCCTTAACCGTGGATGTGGGCACTTATCCAATCAGAGCCATGAGCCGTTCCTTTTGCTTTCTCTTCTTCTAGAGGGATGCTTGGTTCTCACACTGTTTATCTTGCTCTGCAGCTACTGCTCTGAATAGCTTGTCTTGTATTCCCACACTGAAGTGCTTAGTGTATCCTATTTTGTGTAGTGCTAACCTTCTGAATATGCACACTAGTGATTTCACTGCATTTTGCAAGATTTGATCACTGCAGTGCTTTTTGAGTCAGATCTTCACAGAAGATGCTGAGACTCCAACAGCTGAACGCCAGATGGTTTGTGAGGAGCGCTATCATGTGGGAGTACGACCACCAGAGGCAGCACAGAGAAAGGCTGAGCAAACACTTCTCTGCCTGGCCTAATATTTACAGCGCCACACTCTGCTCTTTACCAGACTGGTAACGGACAGCAGGCACTCACAGCTCATATTAACACCTGTACACTACAGAAATATTAACCCAAAGCAAACAGCCCTGCAGAAGTTAGTGCCTGTATTCACAGAAAACCAAACAAAAACCTCTTTGATTTCCTAGCTTAACTATTGGTTCCCTAAACAGCTCTGGCTGCTCATGGTTGATGATGGTTCAGAGCCTTGACAGCCAAAGCAGTTACCTATAGTTTTCTACCTATGTACTGTAGTATTTGGCCACTTACAGCTCATATCATTTTACTCTTATGTTCCTACAAAGAAAACATTCAGATCTGTTCTTGTATTTTAACCTCAGTATCACTCCCAGTAGGAATATCAGAAGCATTTAGGTGTGGATAGATAAAGAGTCAGGTAACCCAACATACAGACTACATCTTCAGGTAAAATAACTCCCCTTGAAAAGAGTTGTCATAGAAAAAAAGGAAAAAGCAATCTATCATAATAATCATTTAAAGGAAATGATTAGTAATTAGTAAGCTGAACAATAAAGCTTCAACCCCTAGAGACCACAAGAAACATGAAAGTTACATTAACAGAGATCCTTTGAACTTAAAAAATGAGAGACTGAACACTGTAACAGGGCAAAGCAAACCCCTTGAATCTGTTCCAGCTAAGAAACAACTGGCTGAGAAGCAGCCTCAGAGAAAGGACCTGGAGGTTACTACAAACACAAGCATGCTCAGATCCTGAACAAGACAACCCATTCTGTACCACACAGGATGCTGTATATAATTCCCTAACCCCAGAGTTCAAGCGGGATCTAAAGGAACTTGCAGGGATCCAGAGGGAGCTACCAAGAAAGCAGCATACACATTAAAAAGAAGTTAAGTAAACTGGGTTATTTGCTTGGCAAAAGGGAGCTTACTACCCACCTACAATCACAGAAAGGTGAGTTACAAAGATAACTATAAAACTACAGCACCATTGAGAAGAACAGCAAAACAAAATTCAAATAGAATTCAAAACAAAGTACAAAAAAACTTACCTTTAGAAATCCCCACATGAACAAAGACCTCCAGAAAAATATACCCTCACTTCCAGGGCCAACCCTTAAATGAGGTCTGGGAAGGGGTGGAGCCAGGATCCATCCCCTTTTGGTCACTCAGGTACATTGCATGCACCTGAGCTCCCCTGGGTTGACCCTGAATTCCCACCAGGTGCCCAATCACTGTTTCAGACCATGACTCAGCATTTCTGCCAAACCCATGTTGATAATGGGCAAATGACTTAAGAAGTGATCATAGCCTCAATTGGTAATGTGGGTGATTCAGACTGAATACTGTGAAAATTGTTTTTGCCAGGAATCATAGAATCATCAGTGGCTCTTCTCATCTGTTGATGCAGTGACATCATCATAGAAGGCAACCAGGTTGGTTGTACGGTAACTGCTGAGTCATGGCCTGAACCACTGATGGAGCACCTGGGAAAGGGCCGTCAGCCCTGGGAGCACAGGTGCAGCAATTTACCTGTGTGATTGGAAGGGGTGGAGCCTGGCTGCTCCTCTCTTAGACCTCATTTAAGGGCTGACTGCCACTGGGGAAAGGCTTCTTTCTGAAGATTTCTTTTTGAGGGATCTTTCCTTTTAAACTTTGAATCTTCTGGTATGTGTGAGTGATCTTTTCTTTGTAGTACCTTTCTATTGTGCTGATCCTTCTGTTATCGCACCTCAGTTGTAGTGCCTTTTGTTTTGATCTGTCCAATTACTACATTTGGTTAAGTAGGATTTGCTTTTAGTAACGCTATAGTGGTTCTCTCATGGTCTCTTCCTGTCTTTCGTGTGCTTTAGTATTGTTTCATGGAGGGTCTGTTCCATAGTGTTCACTGGCGTAGAGGTGAGACTGACTGGTGGGTAGTTCCTAGGATTGTTCTTTCATGCCCTTCTTAAAATTGGATGTGAGGTTTCCTTTTTCTGGCTACTGGGGTCTTCACCTGATTGTAACAACTTCTCAAATAATAGAGAGAGTGGCTTGGCATCTATATCAGCCACCTTCTTCTATGTTCTGGGATGCTTCTCATTGGGACTCATAGACTTCTGGATGTTCAGTTTTCTCAGGTGGTCACAAACCTGATCTTTGTTTGCAGTGGGAGGGACTTTGCTTTCCTGATCCTTTCTTACTAAACCCAATACTTGAGAGCTGTGCAGTGAGCAGTTATCAGGGAAATTGGAGGCAAAAAGCTGTTAAGTACCTCAACTTTCATCTTGTCTGTTATTACCAGCTTGTCTGTGTCACTTATTAGGTAGGGTATTCTCTCCTGGACTTTCCTGGTTGAGGTACTTGTAGAAGCCGTTGTTCTTTTTGGCATTCCTTGCCAAGTTCAGTTCAAGCTGGGCCTTGATGTTCCTGACTCCATCCCTACACAGCATAGCTGCTTCCTTATATTCTTCCTCTAATACCTGTTGTTTTCCCTGACTGTGAATTTTCTTCTTACTCTTAAGTTTGCCCAGCAGGTCCCAGTTCAGACATGCTGGTCTCTTGCCTGCCTTTCCTGACTTGCTACACCTGGGGATGGAGAGTTCCTGTGCTCTGAGAAAAGCCTCCTTAAGAATCTGCCGTCTCTGCTCCAAACCCTTGCCATGAGGACAGCTTCCCAGTGTGCTTTGTTGATTAACTCCCTGATGAACTGCAAGTAAGCTTTCCTTAAGTTTAGCTTCCTAGTTTTACTCTTCACCTGTCTCATGTCCTTTCAAAGCATGAACTCATAATATAGTTGCTACAGCCTAGGCAGCCTCCGATCCTGATGTCATCACTCAGCTTATTTGCATTTGTGAGCAACAGGTCCAGTGTTGCATCCCCCCAAATGCTGCTGTCATCAGGAAGTTATCCTCCTGTATTCCAGCAGCCTCCTGGATTGCCTGCAGCTCGCTGTGCTACTGTTCCAGCAGATCTCAGGGTGGTTGAAGCCCTCTAGCAGGATGAGCACTTGTGATTGTGGTGCCTTGTGCAGTTGGAGGTAGGAAGCCTCACTGACAGGCTCTGACTGACCTGGTGGCCTCTTGTAGATACCAATGATAAAACTTCCTTTGCTGCCTCAGTCTCTGTCACCCATAGGCTTTTGACTTGCTTGAGATTGTTTTGTGTTGTTTTTTTTTTTTTTTTTTTTGCAAAAATGAATTTGGTGCAGTGCTGGAATGGGTTATCTGCAGATGTGTTGGAGATGCACTGTATCCTTAAACGTTTTCAAAACTTGTAGGAAAAGCTGTAGCAACTCTCTTTTGTGTTGATGGTAGTACTGCATTAAATAGATGTTGGACTAAAGACTCTATGAGGCCCTTCCCACCAACTGGTCATGGCAGTATTTAGAGTGCATCTGCTTGAGTGACAGATTCTAGAGCTACCCAAGTAATGAGCAGTTCTTATGAAAACTTGCTTGTAAGAAGAAAGCTAAAATTTTTTTCAAGAGAGCAAAGGAGCTCCTTCTGAGAGCATTGTTATACTACCTTAGGTTTCCTTTTTTCCCCAGAGATAAGAACATAGAACAATTAACTTTAATAATGCATTCCACTAGATTTTGATTCAAAGTTATCTAAATGATGCTCTGTGAGATCTACAAATGCTGGCTTGTTTTTCTGATTTTGATATATCCATGCCACATAATGTCAGAGCAGCTGCTTGCGTTCTCTTTCTCTCAAGTAATGCTAAATTAACATGCAGAACTATGGATGTGGCAATGGCAAGACAGAGCTGAGAAGGTACTGTAGTACCTTAAGGGTAGCAGCTGTTCAGAGGTATGTGTTATATTAAATATTGTTACAGAAAAATAGTGGGATCTAAAACATTATTTTACTGTTTGTGTAGGTTGACAAGCTACTTAAACAGATGAGAAGAAACAAGTGACAGAGCATGTATTAAATTATTTTCCCTTGATTCCTTAGCAGCCCTACTTCTGTTTTCCATGAGAAAATTGTCTGGATTTCCATTTGCATCAACCTATGAGACAGAGGACTCCCAGGCACCCTAGTAGGAAAGATCACTGATCAGCACTCTGCTGCCACCTCCATCACCTTCAGCACTGTGGAAGGCAGCTCTGGAGGTGGCAGTTTCCTGTGACTTGTAGCAGGGCTTTATTTTCAGTACTCCTGCAGCTTTTCTCCTCTTTGCTTGTAAAACAAATGGGAACATGGCAGGGCAGCTGCACAGGGTCTAATGTTTACTTTACATCTTATCAACAGCATTAGGTACTATAGAGTCTACCAGGAAAGACCTAGGTATGAGCCACTCCCACATGGTAGGACTTTGGACTACAGCAAAGCTTCTGTGTCCAGATGTCTCTACCTGTTCTGACCTTGGCAACAAGGTTTCTGGGATTTCCAGTTTCTGTCTTTGCCCTCAAAAAACCCTCTCCTTTACATCTTCCCTCCTTTCTCTCCTTTTTAAGGAGAGATTAAGGATTTGCTTGCCTTAAAAACTATCAGCAAGATGATGTCAGCAGCCTAGGAAGATATCTCACCATACACTATTCACAGGTGCTTTATGGTTTCTACATAGAGGTGAAGGTCAGTCAGCATAAATGTAAATGCATGTTCCATATGCAACATGGTCCCTTAACACTAAATCTGCTTGGCTAGTAAGTGAGAAGTTAAGGTGAGATTCTGCATGCAAGCCAAAGGAGTAAAGCTGTCCCTCTTATTTTTTAGTAGTAACATATAGACACTTTTTTTTTTTTTTTAAAGAAAGCCATGCTGAAAGGCAGCTGTGTCAATGGCTGAGGCACCATCACAGATATGCTCATGCACCTCTTGTACAGCTGGATCTCTAGGGCCCTGTTCACTGGGAGGTCACGTGATGGGGGAGGACGGATACCGGGGAGTAGAACAAAGGAGTACCACAGTAAGTCTGCTAGATGGAGGTGCACACCTGGGCCTTAGTGCTGGAGCCTGTAGCCCAGCTAAAGCCCTCGGGGAGAAGATCCCATCATGCAGCCCGAAGGCAGCTTAGGAACACTAGATTTTCTGCTTCACTCTGAAATTTCTGTTTGTGCCATCCTTCAGGAAAGAGCTGTCTTTATTTCCTTTTCTCTTGGGGCGGGGATATGCTGCAATAGCAGTTGGCTGCACCAGATATTGAATATGGTCCTCAGTCGTGCTGCAGGAGTGCCACCTGGTGGGTCCCTTCCCCACACGCGCATAGAAGCCCTGAGCCTCGCTGGGTGCATGGCAGGGGAGGCTTACCTGACAATCACCTCAGCCCAGAGGGGCCCAAGAGGGCTACCTGGAAAATACCAAGGGGAACAGTACCATGTTTATCTACTATCTCCAGAGGATGTGCATAAAAGGTGATTTTCTTTTCCTAGTGGGCACAATCTTCAGACTCTGTTGCTCTCAGATGGATTTTGTTACATGAGAACTGATAAATTAATGTGGAACTATCTTTTGAGAGTGAAGTGTCTTAAGGGTCAAGCCGTGCAACAAAACAAGGAGCTGTGATTACTAGCTGCAATATACAAGCATAGCAGCTCTACACTGTAGCTCCACAGTGCCCATGTGGGCTGGCAGGCTGTTTCACTCAATACTGCGTGAGCATTCTTTGTGTGCATTTGTACCTTGTCCTATTGCTACCAGATTTGGATAAAAAGTCAGTCTCCCTCCTGTTTGCAAATCTCCCTCTAAGTACTGGAAGGCCACAGTGAGGTGTCCCTGGAGCCTTCTCCAGGCTGAACAAGCCAAACTCCTTCAGTCTGTCTTAGGAGCAGTGCTCCAGCCCTCAAATCATCTTTGTGCCCCTCCTATTGGACTCTCTGACAGCTCCACGTCTTTCTTGTGCTGGGGGCCCCTGACCTGGACGCAGTACTCTGTGTGGGGCCTCACGAGGGCAGAGAAGATAAGGACGATCCCCTCCCTTGCTCTGCTGCCACCCCTCTTATGATGCAGCCCTGGATATTGTTGGCCTTCTGGGCTGCAAGCCCCTAAATTCTCAGCCAGAGCTGCTGTCAGTGAGTTCTTCTCCCAGTCTGTATATGTATCTGGGATTGCCCTGACCCTAGTGCTACACCTTGCACTTGGCTTTACTGAACTTCATTAGGCTTATACGACTCTGCCTTTTGAGCTTGTTTGGGTCTCTCTTGATGGCGGCCCTTATCTATGTGAACTGTTTGTCCCATGGATGGCATGAGGAAGGGGAGAATCTTGTTTGTTGAACAAGAGTTAGTTCACTGGCTAAAAGACTATGGGCAGGACAGGGATGTGCTCTGAGAAAACGGGCTTTGGTCAAGTGCTCTGGATGGAGCAAAAATTATGCTTCCTGAAAGGTGTACTGTGACAGCTGGCATTGCATACATCACTGCTCAGTGTTTGTGCAGCTGGCCACTGCTGTGATGCGTGAGGGTTTTTGTGTTCTGGTGACTCCGTGTTTCCCTCTGTAGCCTTTCCCTGATTGCTCAAGACACTCTGGCAGTCCCTCCATGTGCATCTAAGTCAGTATCTGTATGGATTTTAACATTACTGCCTCTCCACCCTCAAACTTTTTTTTTTTTTCTTTCTTCCCTCATTTTTGTCCTTTTACTTTTATTGATTTAAAGGGTTATAACATCAATATAATGTGAAATGGATATGGCCGGCAGTCAGTTTCCAAATGTGGGAACATGTATTTATGGAGCAGAAAGAAAAGCTCAGACTTTTTTCTGACTCTGGAAGCAAAGCACCGGATTACGAAGCTCAGGGCAGCCCAACCACGCCGCCCCACAAAGGTTGCGGGGCCTTTAGATACAAAGGGGCCACCGCGATCGTCCTTCCAGCGGAGCCGAGGCGGTAGCGCCGCTCTCTAAAGCGGTGCCTCTGGCCCCGCCCGGCCCTTATCGGGCACCGCCGCGAAGCAGCTCAGCTCACGCGCGGGGCGGGGCGGCCCTTCGCTACCCGCGGGAGGGGGGGGCGACTCCCGGCAGGGTCCGGACGCGGCGGCTGTGCGGGTAGGGCGCTGATTCTCGGCGCGACGGCGGACGCTGCTCCTGCAGGACTCGGGCGGCTCAGGGCTGGCCTTGGTCGAGCGGTGGTGCGGCCCGGCGGGGAGCAGCGGGAGGTTTCAGGGCAGCGACGGCCACCCGTCGGCACCGCGCGGTTCCCCTCCCTGCCGCGTCGCAAAGGTTTGTGGGGCGGGGCGCGGCGTCGCGCGCCGGCGGCAGCCGGAAGCGGAAGCGGAAGCGAGGGGCGCTCCGTCTGCGACGCCTCTGCGGCTGCTGTGCCGCGCGGCGCGGGGCCGCGGCCCTGCCCTTCTTCTTTCCCGCCGGAGCCGGCGGCGTTCCCCTACGGCGCGGAGCTTTGGCGCGGCGCGGCCCGGCCCGGCCCGGCCCATGGACCGGCACAAAGTGAAGCGGCAGCGGCTGGACCGGATCTGTGAAGGTGAGGCGGGTAGGCGTTCCTCGGCCATGGCGGCGCCTTGCGGGCGGCTCGGTCCCGTGCTGCGGCCGCCTCTATGCGGCGGGGATCCGGCCTCGGCGCTCCCCTCACGACCTGGGCCCTCCGGCCGCTCCCCGGCGCGCTCCTCCTCCGACGCTTTCCTCTGCGGCACCGTTGGCGTGCCTGGCGCTGAGCCGCGGGCAGAGCTTCGGCCAGGAAGGGGCGGCGGGGGTCGGCTGTCAGGGACGCCATGAACTCGGGGGTCCTTCCGCACTCTTAAGAAGGAAACGGAACGGAATGCTGAGCCGGAGCGAGGCGATGTAACGCAGGCTGGGCCTGAAGCGAGTGCTGTTTGTTTTAGGATTCTCGAGTAAGGTGATGTGCTTGCGAGTATGTCGTTTCCGTTACCTTGTTAATGATTGAGCTTTAAAAAAAATTAAAATTTGAATCAATGATGGAAGTACTATTTATTTTTCCTCCTAGATTCATTTCCTAGTTGTTGAGGGACTTCTTGGACCTCTGTTGAGGGCTCCAGTGTGCTTATCTTTCATGTAACCACTCCTGTTGACTTTCTTAATAGGCATACGGCCTCCTGCTGTGAATGGCCCAATGCCATCACGGCCACTGGTTGCGCTCTTGGATGGAAGAGATTGCACTGTGGAGATGCCCATCCTGAAGGATGTTGCTACAGTTGCATTTTGTGATGCTCAGTCAACTCAGGAAATCCATGAGAAGGTGAGGAAGAAAACATGAGAGCATTTAAATGTAAAGCTCTGTCTCTTTGAGTAAGGAAGCAAAGATTGATTTGAACTTCTTTCTGTTGTAGGTACTGAATGAAGCAGTAGGAGCTCTGATGTATCACACCATTACACTGTCTCGTCAGGATCTGGAGAAATTCAAAGCCCTCAGGGTCATTGTGCGTATTGGCAGTGGCTATGACAATGTTGACATCAAATCTGCTGCAGAATTAGGTATGATGATGCCATGTTGGCTCTTTTGTGATCAGAACTGAATGAGGAGTCAGAACACTCTACATTTTTTCTGCTTTTATAACTGAGTACGTTTGAAACCTTTACTTTAAAAGGTTTGGAGCTGCTTAGTGGGAGCTCCCATGGAGCTGCATATTTACATAGCAGGGAAATATCTGAACTGTTGGATGTCCTGAAAGGAAGATTCTCAGATCTCAAACTTTTCTGCTGAAGAGGCAGATTCTTTGAATTTGTCTGGAGTTCAGGAACTTAAAATACAATGTCTACATAACTCCTCGGTGAGGCAGTTTTGGATTGGTTGTGGGAAAATGATTGTGCAAACTGATGTCTGAAAACATCATTCAAATGCTGATGCTGGCGAGGCTCATTGTAGATGCTAGTTTAGTGAGTTTCTTTTACGTTTTTATAGCAGGCAGATTCTGGTACAACATTTTACGGAATACTTAAGAACTTTGGATTTAAGGCATGGGAAGAGTCTCTGTATCAGGTGACAAAAATTGCTTTCTCTTACTAAAGATATGGCAGTGTGGCTTTTAAACTTTGTAGCTTCCGTAGGGAGATGGATCAGCTAAGAATCCCTTACCTTCTGTCTTGAGGTTGTTCCACTGTTTTGAAAACTTTCTTAATGCAAATTAAATTAAGCTTAAACTAAGTGCAAGTATTTATATCTAAAATTGTGATAGACAGTACAGTTCCAAGTTCTGTAGGAACAGAAGAGCTGTAAACAAATGAAGAATGCAATTTTGTCTAGTGCCTGACTGAAGTCTAAAGAGTGTTTTCGTCTGAACCATTCAGCTAAAGATTGCTAATTTCCTTGCAAGGCCTCCACCTCTTACCCTGCCATTGCACTTCAGGGTTGCGTTCGAACCTCGTCTTCTCCTAGGGTTCTCTGCTTAGTGTTACCATGGATGTTTTTGATTCAGATTCAAAGCTTTCCTTTTCCTCCTCATTCTGCACTCAAGCTAAACAGGCAAAGTTCTTTCACCATCAACAAATTGCTTCTTGCCATTTTTGCTTTAAGGAGAGCTATTGTGATCCTTCTTATTCATAGCCAAATTTTCAGTGGACAATTAATGATTATTTCCATGCTTAGCCAGTCTCTTTAATTCATTCCGAGGTATGATACTGTTTTTTACTGTTCCCAATCCTCTGATTGGTCCAAAGGGTTGCGTGTGTGCTTTCTACCATGCAAATATCATTGGGTGTAAACACAAATATGTGCCTACTTATGTAAGAAATGAATGCTTTTCTGAAGATGAATGAGCTGCTAACTAGTGAAATTAAAAGAAGTTAGTTGGGTTTCCCTGTCTGCTCTATTCATCTTCTCCAAACAAAATGTGTGGCATTGTGGCACAATTACAAAGTGTTTGATAGATAAAAGGAGTCATTGCTGGGATCATGCATAGCTTTTGCTTTCCTAATTGGCTAGGGATGAAGCTGTGATCTGAAGTTAGTTGAACATCTCTTGTGGTGCACTGCTGAATTTCTTTCCAAGGATTACCTTAATTTTAACCCTAGTTTTTAGATACTGGTGGACTTTTGAGGAGGAAAAGTGTGCTTGTTTTGTCAGGTGGCCAGGGTCATGCTTCATGGTTTTTTTTTTTTTAATCAAGTTGTTGGTTTTTTTTTTTGCTAAAAATTTTGCCAGATTAAAAAAAGTCTCTTCCAAAGAGGTGTTACCGTGTTACCCGTGTTGGGGGTAGAAGGCCTTTCAACAGAAGGCTGTTGAATGAAGGATAGTGGCAGTGGAGCCATATGCTGCCTGTCCCTCTGTGATTTTTGTTTTGTGTTCTTGAGGGGGCAGGTTGTTCAGGCTTGACCAGGTTTTGTTACTGTGCTCTAACATCTTTCCGTTTCCCGCCTGTAATCTTTCTTAAGGTTTGCAGCACCTTCACTCTGTTGGTGTTAGTAATTTACCTGGTGGCTCTGGCCTTTGTCTTATGGTCCTTTGTGGCTGTATGTTTTCCTAGAGCACGTATATTACATGTCATTATTTTTGAAAATAATTTCAAACTTCTGTGTTTTTTCTTTACAATTAATGAATTAAGTAATTAGCGTTGCTTGTGGAAAAGCTGTTAGTTGCAGTCAGCATCTGGCCAGTGAGGCATGAAAGACCTTAACCATCTGTCATCTTAATTCTTCCACAGTCTGTCCAAGAGTACCACAGGAATGCGTGCATCTTTCAGTGTAGAAAACTTGTCCAGTTTTCCTTTGTCACTTGTGTGATCTGTTTGTCCTCATTTCAGCCTGGTGGTTTTTTTTGTTTCTTTTTTTTTTTTTAAGCTGGGTAGGGTGTCAAATTAATATCTGTATATAAGGAAGGGATGATATTTCCTTGGGGTTAAAAAGCTGTCTGGTCCTGTCTATGTTGCTGTAGAACGACTTTGTGAAATGAATTCTGCATTTCTTGGTAGTAGTTCTGGAGCATTGAATTATGTTTCAGTACTTCTGCCTAGAGAGTTGTATTTTGGTTTGTTTTATCATCATGTGACAGTAAAAATCTCATGAACTCTATGGCTTTGTAGGCATTGCAGTTTGCAACATCCCCTCCTCCTCAGTTGAGGAGACTGCTGACTCCACCCTCTGCCACATCTTGAACCTTTATCGACGTGTTACGTGGCTGCATCAGGCCATGCGGGAGGGGAATCGAGCTTCAAGTGTGGAGCAGATTCGAGAAGTGGCCGGAGGTGCTGTGCGTATCCGTGGGGAGACTTTGGGCATCATTGGACTGGGTAAGTGATGGGAATCGTTAGGCTGAAAAGTAAAGCGAACGTCTTTGGGAACCAAAAGAGTCACAGACTGGAGAGGAAAAACAAAGAGGATAATTCTACAGCTGTTCATTGTGAAACACACTGACTCATAAGAAATGCTAGTGCCCTATTCTGTGATGATGCACATCTTGAAGAGTTGGGTATCTGTCATGGGTTTGGGGATTTTTTTTCCATGTTGTTAGAAGAATTGGAATTTTCAGGCAGCTCTTCTCAGTGACTGTTTCCCTGTATACAAGGCTATGTATCAGTAACAAAGCTGCCTGAAAGCTTCCATTTCCTTCAAGTTCTTACTGCCTCTGAAACAGGGTACAGGCTTGATTTGAAAAACAGAGCTCCTTTTAGGCTATTGCATGGGGAAGAACTAGAATTAGCCACATGGGATCAACACTGAATTGCCTACTCTGGGTTGCTATGGCAATCCTAGCAATGTTCAGGGCTGCATTATCTTGGGCCTTGACAGTAAACTCCAGCGTAGGCTCCCAGTCTACCCCAGTATCTTGTCTTTAAAGTTTGTTTTACCTTTCCTTGATGATTGTGGGTTTTCTTTTGTGAAGGCCGAGTTGGACAGGCAGTGGCTCTGCGAGCCAAGTCCTTTGGCTTCAACGTGATTTTCTATGATCCCTATCTGCCGGATGGAGTGGAGCGATCCTTGGGTTTACAGCGAGTAGGAACCCTGCAGGATCTACTAATGCACAGCGATTGCATCACATTGCACTGCAGCCTGAATGAACATAACCATCACCTCATCAATGACTTCACTATTAAACAGGTGCAGCAGGAGCTTGATTTCCTCCACAGAACACTGTGGAAATGAATGCAAACAGAAACTGCTGCTTTCACAGAGGCTGAGAGCGTGTGAATCCTGCTGCCTCTACCGTGTGCATCCTGCTGCCTTTGGAGGCTGGGAGCATGTGGACCTGGGTGCCTGTGCTTTGTGCTTATAGAATTTCTTGATAAGAAAAAAATAGGATTATATTTTCTTGCCAAGTAATTTGTTAAGAATTATTATTAAGAATGTTTTAAGTGATTAAGTAATTTCAAATTGCCTTTAGAATTCATAACTGGCTGTATTGGTTAGAGCTAGATCTGCTGTGGCTGGGACTATAAGCTTCTTTACACTGCTCTGCCAAAGTCTTTCTGCTCGAGCCCACTGCAAAGCCAGTCTCGGGCTCTACTCCAGTAGTTTGTGAATGTTTTTCTGTGCTTTCATGAGAGGCATCTGGATACAACAGTCCAGTTTTGTATAGCTGTGTACTTGATTCATGTCCTCTTTCTTCTTTAAAGTAGTAGGATGAATATGGAGTGCAAAACTTGAGAGTTCCACTTTTGCCCTTGTTGTCTTTTTTGTGGTTTTTGTTTGTTCATTTTAAAAGCAAATTTCTTGGGCATTGCTTGCAGGCATTTCCCCTGTGGTTAGCTTTGCAGTGAGAGCACTCCTAGTTCGTCCAGGCCTCATCTAATCACTGCAGGCTGCTGCTCATTTCCAGTAGACTTCCCAGCATTCACTTTGCTCCCCTGAAAAGTCTCTTTATCAACGCACTTCATGTTTTTCTTCTTCCAGATGCGCCAGGGCTGCTTCCTAGTGAACACAGCCCGGGGAGGTCTGGTCGATGAGAAAGCCTTAGCACAAGCCTTGAAAGAGGGGAGAATCAGAGGAACGGCACTGGATGTACACGAATCCGAGCCTTTCAGGTAAAACTGCGCCTGCATGCCTGTGTTATCCTATGATTCATGCAGTGGATGATTCTTTTTTATTTAAATTACAGTGATACTTGAGAGGACATGTGGGTTCATCACTTCTGGACACAAACCACTTTTTTTTTCTTTTTTTTTTCCCCACAGCTTTGCTCAGGGGCCCTTAAAAGATGCACCCAATGTGATCTGCACCCCACACACTGCCTGGTACAGCGAGCAGGCTTCCATTGAATCCAGGGAAGATGCAGCTAAAGAGATCCGCAGAGCTATTACAGGTAATGAGGAAGACTGTGCTCTGCAGCTGTTGATAAATTAGGAGTCTTTTTGTTAGTTCACTGCAAGGATTATGGATTTGAAATTGCTAACTGTTCTTTAAATATTCGGCTCGTTAACTACTTTCTGGAGCTGGAGTGTAAGTTGATAGTTGTCTCTTTGCTTCTTGAGAATCTAGTAACTAATGCTGACGTGGCACTTTCCTTCCTTTGGAAGGCATAAGAGTTGCAATCTCTTACTAAGTTTTCTAAATCCTTTGCAATAATTCCTTTGACAGTTACTTTGTACACTTTTTTTGGAGTAGCAGTTTGTCTCTTAGGGAAGGTAAGCCTTGGCAATTGCAGTTTATGTGGCCAATGGTTTACCCAAGGTCACGGAACTGGTAAGGAAGGATCAGTTTCCTCTGTTGGGCAAGGGAGACTCCTCTGAACATCGTTATCATATGGGAGTAGATGGAAAAGATACTGAGCATTTCCTTTTTACTTTTCTTCTGTTTGTCTCCTGTTTCCCTGCTATTTGTCTCCTGTTTTTATTTGTTTGTTTGTTTTGTTTGTCATTCTTGGTGTTCCCACAGGTCACATTCCTGACGCTTTGAGGAACTGTGTTAATAAGGAGTATTTGCTGTTAGCAGCTCAGTGGTCCGGTATTGATCCTGCAAGTGTCCACCCAGAACTCAATGGAGCTGCAGCGTACAGGTGAGATATGCAGGTTGTCTGAGTTACTGCTTCCAAACATATCTTCCTGCTGCAATAAGTCAGCCATCACTGTTGGGGCTTGAGAACGGCTTGTACCTACAAGCAGATGTGCTTTTGTGCCTTTATACACTGTAAATGAGCTTTGTGCAAAAACTTAAGAGCAGTACTCCTGAATCCATTCCAGAAACGTGCTTAGTTCCAGCTGGGCACTGGTTGATTTTTCCTAATGCTTGCAAGACCTTTCCAATAGATATATTAATATAAGAAAGCCCGCTGGATGCCTGAAAAAAGGTCTGGATCTTAACATACAGAAGGTGTGTATATTGCTGTGGCTTTATAAATAAAACATGGTTCTTACCTGCATCACAGATGAGGACTTTTAAAAAGACATTGTCCAGTAGTTTCAGGCAGTGGCCTAAATGGGTTATATTTCAGGCAGTTACAGACCTGCCAAGGGATTGTGGATTGCTTGTTTCCCATCTGTTTTTCTCCTCTCTGTAAAATAGGAAATATATTATCTTCCTTTCTCTGAGATATCTACGCAGATTCTGATGTATTTATGGAGAAGGAAGGTATAAGGAGACCACATGGAAGTAAAGGGTTCATTAGCAATTCATAGGTGTCTTTACCATTTTTCATCTTATTTTGACTGTTTTTCTAGTTTAGCTCTTTTCTGTGTTGGAGCCCAGTGGAAGATAGGTGGTAGATTGCATTCTTTCTGTTGTTGGAGAGGCCAGCTCTTCAGGCTGCCTCCACACTGTGACTCATGCTGTTTCCCACTGGTTCCGATTTTTACACCTGTCTTCCAAATGCTTAGTAGGTGACTTAGAGCTGCCTGAGAACAAGTGTAAATTGGTAATGGGTGGTAACTACTGTTCTTCAGCTCTGGAGACTTTCCATGTGTTCTGTTTTGGAGCAGCTCTACTTAAAGGAGGGATTTGTATTCAGTTGCCTGAGGGCATACACATCTCTTTTCCCCTTGCATAACTGCTAGACAAGCATGTAATTTCTATGTTTCTATTGGTTTCAGGTTTCCTCCAGGAGTAGTGGGAGTAACCACCCCTGGGCTACCAGAACCACCAGTAGTGGAAGGGATTGTAGCTCATGGGATCCCTTCTGTTTCCCACTCTGCACCGCGTACCCCTTCCCCAGGAGAGACAAGCAAACTGGATGCAGACAGAGAGATTCCTGCTGATCAGTAGCAGCATCTTTATCTTCTCTTCTCTGGCAGCAGGGAAAAAAAAAAAAAAAAGAAAAAAAAAAAAAGTATCTTCTGCTAGGACTTTCTTTAACACCCTGCAGAGACTGTTTCTTGTTAATGCAGGGCAGGACAATGCATTTCATTACTGGCAAACTTTAGGTCTTGCCTTTATTTTTGTAATCCTTTTAGTTATAATCTCTTGGTGAATCTTTCTCCTTCTCTGGGGCAGGGCAGCAGTGACCTTGCCTCCCCTTGGAAATACTTAGTTTAACCAGTGTTTTTTTCCTATGTGTCTGCCTCAGTTGTCTGTGACAGGGAACTGTTTTAGTGCACTTGAATATAGAAGAGGTAATGCCTCCTGATCAGGGATGGCCTTCAGTGTCCCTAACAGCAGATTTCAGGGCATGTTTTTCAGTTGTAGCAGTGTAAGTTCCTTTTGGCTGTACCTCTCAAAGTGTAGACATGGGAAATATCAGAAAAAGATTAATAAATTGGAGAAGTTGTGATTTGTCTGTATTATGCTGTCAGTAAAATGCAACTTCAGCTCTGTGCATTACCTTGCTTGTTTTAATTAAGGTTTTCTATGAGAACGGACAGCACAAGCAGTGCTTGTTCGTGACTGTAAGTTTTGTCTATGCAGTACTAGGCCTGAAGATAAAAATAACAGTTTCAAAGTCAGCCTTGTAAATAATTTGAAACGAATTTTAAAAGTCTTCAAATGTGTTCCAGTGGCCACTGTGTTTGCAAGGCTTCAAAATAATTTACCTATGTGAATGTACCTCAGAGAAGATGAGAAAATGCAGAAATAGGAAAAAATTGCACTGGGAGACAGCAAGTAGCAATAATTTGCAGCTGCAGTTGCTGGTTCCTTGCACACACGTACCTCAGTCTAACGACGCTGTTTATTCACAGAGTATATGACGTTAAAATTCTAAGCTGTGTTCTACAGAGCTGTGTAGGCATAACTGCACCAATTAGAAGTAGCACAGCAGTGCTAGTGACACTAGTCTCTGCTGATGGAGAAAGCTTTTAAGGCTTGACCAAATTAGCCTAGTTAGCGTAGCTCTACTAGCATATGTTGTATCTTCAGTAGAGAGCAGAGTAAAATTGAGCGCTTTTTTTTTTAGTATCACAATGCTTATTCATGTAGGAGAAAAGCTTACTCATAAAGGAGAACACAATTATGTTATCACCTGAAGCCAAGGCAGGATTGTTATTCTGAAGTATTTTTCTGTTTCTCTGTCCCAACCGATTCACTTCTTGGAGGGGGGTGGAGCCCTCAGCAAAACAGATTCCCCAGGAGATTTTCCTTAATCCTAAATATTCTGTGTGTTTGATCTTGTTATGCTAGGTGCTACACAGCAGGCATACCCTGTGTGTGGTGTTACCTGCCTTGCTTGATTCCTTTTGTGTGTCTGTGACTGGGAGCTGAATAGGTGGGAACAGATTGGAAATGCACTTTGAGGAGTGGATGAAATAATCTGTTTAGGCTGTTTACAGTTCAAGAAGTTGAGCAAAGCCTTCGGAGTAGCAAAGATTTTAGGCTCTTCCCTGTTTTTATGTGTTTATATAATAGCTTACTATCTAGTTTACTAATGACACAGTGAAGTGATTCATTCCTTTCCCTGTATGCACCCGCCAGTCTGCGCTGCCGCCACCCCTCCAACCACACAAAAACAGGAAAACTTCGGCAATTCAAGAAAGAAAAATAGGCAAGATGTAAGCTTCAGGTGTTTCTTTGCCGATTTAACACTTTCTAACTGTTCATCATGAGTGAGATATTTGTTCTTTAGTGTTGAGCGTCTTTTTTTCATAAGGTATTTGTGTTAGTGAAGGTTGGCTTCTGTGTTTCATGGATCATGCTGATTCTAATTAAAATCCATATACCTCCTTGGCTGCTCAGGTTTACCAGGTCAGACTGGGACTGGTGTTAGGTGCAAGTGACAAGAGAATTCTTCTGAATGAAAGCTTAGAGTCAGAAGCAGTTCAGTTTGAATCGTACCTAAAATAACCAGCAGCTCTTTTCTGATTTCTGTAATTTTTAGCTAACCTACATTCTGCAAACTGCTAACTCAGAAAGCTGTTCTTCTGACAGACGGATGGGGGGGGGGGGAAATGTTTCATTCAGGTACTGAGAGCTGATCTGTCCATTACTGCATTAGGGGAGCAGTCTGTCCATAACTACTGTTTCCTTATTTGCTCTTAAAAATTCTTGCTCTGCATAGAGGTTAACGTCTGCAGATTATTTGGTGGTAAGGTGCTTCTAGTTACAACCTTAGTGAGTACAGAGAATCAGAGTATGTTCATCGTCTCTATTTTAGAGCACAGTGCAAGGTAGATGCTTTTCGTTAAAGGCAGCGTATCTATTTCCATCTATCTGTATATTTTTAAGATCAGTCAGGCAGCTCTGTGCACTCTGAAGAAGAGTGGGAAGATCTCTTCTAGGGGACATTTCGAGTTTTCCGTATTTGATGACTAGTAAATGTAGGAGTAACTAATTGATGTAAGAAATACTTCGTTATGGATGCTGAGGAGCACTAGCTGATAGCACTGGTGATTCTATTTGGGAATCTAGGCATCCCTTCTCTCCTCTTATGGGTGGAACGTGACAGCAATAGTGGCTCTGCTTTATCCAACACCATGCAGAGTGATTGGATATGAAGGCAACATCTCCCTTGATGAGAGCCTCAGCAAAAAATGCTGAGGTGAAAATTGAACGGAACCTTGACCGTGACATCCTCAGTGAAGGGCTCTCTTTGTGTTTGTAGAATTGCTCTGCCTGTATTCCGTCTGTACCTCTGTGCATGGACTAATCTTGCCATCACCAGACCAAAGGCTGTTCTGAACAGACAGCTCATAGAAAAATGACCAGTACCGAAGTATACTGTGGTCTTCCCCATCCCATGAGTGCCAAGTTATTTCAACAGCATCCTCTCATGTGTGATAAACTGACTCACAGCTCCTCCTTTAGTGCAGTATACAGAAGTGGAAGGATGTTTTTTTCCCCTCTTAAAATACCCTCCTTCAGAACTAGTGCAGAGCTTTATTCCCAAAGAACAGAAGTTTCCTAGGGTGAGGCAGGAGTGCCCTACCTTCACTAACCTGCTTACAGGAGGTGCTTATACTGTCCCAAGGTACATTCTGTTTGTCAGGGTCACTGCTGCTGACCAGCTTTTTTATAGAGGACTCAGAGTTTCAGAAATATATTTTTGTAGACAATAACTAAACTGTGAAACATTGAAATAAAGCATGTAAAACAAAAGCTTACAGCACTGTCCTCTGTACAGATGTTTCGCTCAGTTCTCTCCTGACTTATTAGATAATGTTTGATTACTTCTTGGATATATTTTAATAAACTTCTCCAAAGAATGTGGCTGCTGTCTGTGGAAGTGGTGGCCTGAAACCTGAAATACAGCATACATTGAAGGGAGTGGGAAGAGGGAGGGGGTATAAAAAAAAAAAAAAAAAAAACAACCAAAAAACAAACAAAAAAAAGCATGTACATATAATTGTCTGCATCAGTCCCACTTTGATCACAAAAGATGGGTTTGATTTTCCACATAATTACTCCCTCGATCCCAATAGTGAATGACTTTGGATTCTGGAGACTCACTATCAACAAAGACTGAAAAAAGCAGTCATCTTCAGGGCTTAAGAGACAGCTTTGGATGTAGCCCAGTACTCAGTACTTACTTGCTTTCTCACAAGTCAAATGTGTGGCTTTTTTTTTTTTTTCCTCCTCCAAAGTTTTAGGTTAAATAGATGTTTCAAGAAGGCTGAAAAATAACCAATTCCTCTTTTTTCCAGTTACGGGTTTATGTCTTATTGCAGAAATTTGTAAGTTCTTCATAGTTCTTTAAAATAAGTAGGGCAGACACAGCTTGCAAAAAAGAGTCTTTTGAGCCTCTCTCTAAATAAAATAATCTGTCTTGAAATCTGTCCGCTATTTTATCAGCATCCCACATCAGGGCTAACATCAGACAATTGATAAGGAGTACAGATAAGGGGATAAAGAAATACAATTCTGAGGACAGGCAATCTGCAAACTGGTATTTGGGCATCACTGTATCCATTTCCTATTAAAATTGTATCCCTGTAACAAAGTAACAAAGAAAGTAACATTGTATCCCTGTAAGAAAGTAACAAAGATGAAATACTGCCACTTAGTGTAAACAACCTGGCACAATCATTTTGAATAGACGTAGGTGAAAGCAAGCAATTTGTCTCTGCTGATCGTGATTCACTGTCAAGTTAACTGTGACTCAGAGAAAACAGTAAAGAAAAAAACAAATGATTTTCACGAGAACATCCCTGTTCTGATGTCAAGAGTAGCATCTACTCATTCTAGTTTCAATCAGTGCTACTGTGTCTTGAATGCACGAACAGAGGTGTAAAGCTGCAGGTAGACTTCTAAAGATCTAAGTTGTTGTACAAGCATGCTGAAAAGGACACTGCACTATTCTACATGAGGGCTGTTGAAACGCATTAGGTAATCATGACAACAGCATCCTATTAATATATTGGAATCACAGTATGGCTTGGGTTGGAAGAGCCCTCAAAGATCATCTAGTTCCAACCACTCTGCCATGGCCAGGGCTGCCAGTCGCTAGATCAAGCACTAGGGCCCCATCCAACCTGGCCTTGAACACATCCAGGGATGGGACATCCACAACCTCTCTGAGCAGCCTGTTCCAGCACCTCACCACCCTCAGTGAAAAACTTCCCCCTCACACCTTATCTAAATCTCCCCTCCTTTAGTTAAAACTATTCCTCTTGGCCTATTGCTATCAGACTTGTATAAAAAGTCAGTCTCCCTCCTGTTTGTAATCTTCCTTTTAAGTACTGGAAGGCCACATGAGGTGTCCCTGGAGCCTTCTCCAGACTGAACAAGCCAAGCTCCTTTAGTCTGCCTTTGTAGGAGAGGTGCTCCAGCCCTCAGATCATCTTTGTGCCCTTCCTCTGGACCCTCTCCTACAGCTCCACATCTTACTTGTGCTGGGAGCCTCTGACCCGGATGCAATACTCTGTGTGGGGCCTCATGAGGGCAAAGACAGGGATGATTCCCTCCCTTGCTCTGCGGCCATCCCTCTTGTGATGCAGCCCTGGATATTGTTGGCCTTTTGGGCTGCAAGTCCCTAAATTCTCAGCCAGAGCTGCTATCACTGAGTTCTTCTCCCAGTCTGTATATGTATCTGGGATTGCCCTTACCAATGGTTTTGTTGAACCACGTTAAGCTTACATGGGTCTGCCTTTTGAGCTTGTTCAGGTCCTTCTGGATGGCATCCCTTCCTTCTGTTGTATCAGCTGCACCACTCAGCTTGTCGTCTGCAAACTTGCTGAGGATGCACTCAATCCCATCATCTGTGTCACTGCTAAAGATGTTAAAGAGTACCAATCCTAAGATTGACCCTTGGAGGACACTGCTTATGACTGGCCTCCACCTGAACATAGAGCTGCTGACCTCAACTTTCTGGCTTTGGTCTTCTAACCAATTCCTTATCCACTGAATAGTTCAGCCTTCAAACCCACATCTCTCTTCAATTTAGAGATGAAGATGTGGTGCAGGATCACATGAAAGGCCTTGCACAATTCCAGGTAGATGACATAAGTTGCCCTTTTCTTTGTTCACTAATGCTGTTGTTCCATCATAGAAGGCCGCCAGATTGTTCAGGAATGATCTGCCCTTGGTGAAGCCATGCTGGCTCTCTCAGATCATCTGCTTGTCCCTCACGTGCTTCAATATGTCTTCCAGGAGGATGTGTTTCATTATCTTCCCAGACACAGACACGAGGCTCACTAGCATGTAGTTCCCCAGATCTTCCTTTCTCACAAAAATGAGCGATGTTTCCCTTTTTCCAGTCATGGGGGACTTCACCTAACAGCCACAACTTTTCAAATATGATGGATTTCAAAACTGATGGATTGGCAGCCACATCCATCAGTTCCTTCAAGTCCCTGGGATGCATGTAATCAGACCTCATAGACTTGTACACGTTTATTCTCAAAAACAAATTGCTCTTCTCAAATTGCTCTTCTCTTACAGTGGGAGGGAATTTGCATCCCCAGTTCCCACCTAGAGGTTCAAGGAAACATGCATTCTGGCTGTCTGTGAAGACTGAGGCACAGAGCTAGTTGGGCACCTCAGCCTTCTTTGTGTCTGTTTCCAGTTCTCCCTTCTCGCTTATCAGAAGGGATGCACTCTTCTTGGCCTGTCTCTTCTGACCAACACACCTGTAGAATCCCTGGTTATTTTTCATGTCCCTCACCAAGTAGAGTCCCATCTGTGCTTTGGGTTTCCTGACCCCATCTCCACACGGTACGATATATCATAATTATCCCCTAATAATGCCATTAAAAAAATGCATCAGCTAACAGGGAAGAACCCAGACTAGCAATATTGCTTTTACTACTGGGCCAACTCAGAACCATCTGAAGCAACTCAGGCCCCACTTCTACAGCTGTTACTGTATCTTTTTTATGATGTCCATTTACCTCAAAACTTAGGTAAAAACTCCTTAATTTCTGTTATTTCAGACACTGAACCTGGAGTTCATAAGCATCTCTGCCGCAGGAAGGCCTCCTCCTCCTAAGGCACCTGGCCGCCGATCGGCCCCCGGCTCCGCGACTGCTCCAGGTTCTGTCCGCGGCCGCCGCAGCTCCGCGGCCGGAGGGCTCCGTCCGTCCGCCGGTCCCAGAACGTCCCAGCCAGCTCGGCTGCGCGGGGCATTGTGGGGGAGAGGAAGGAGGGAGGGAAGGCCGTCCTCGCGAGGTGCATGCCGGGATTGGGGCGGGCGGCGCTGGGAGGCCCGGAGAGGGGCGGTCGTTCCGTCGGTGTCTCGGGCCGCGGCGGTCGGTGGGCTCGGGCCGGCGGCGGAGGAGGCTCCTGTCCGGCGGGGATGGCGGACGTGGCGGCCTCCCCCGTGGGAAAGCGGCTCCTGCTGCTGCTGGCGGCGGCGCCGGGCGAGGGTGAGGCGGCGGGGCCGGACTCTGGGCCTGCGCTGCCCTCCCGGGCCTGGCGGAGCGGCACGGTGCGGGCTATGAGCGGAGCGGTGCCCCAGGACCTGGCGGTGAGGACCCGGTGGCGGAAGCGGCGACGGGGCGCGGGCCGGGCCGGGCCGGGCCGCGGGGCGAACGGGCCGCGGCCGCGGAGCGCTGCCTCCCCCCCGGTCGGGCCGCGGCTGCGCCGTGCTGGCGGCCCTTCTCTGCGGAGCTCTGCCCGCGCCGCCCGTGGGCCTGACTGGACGCGCTTCGGGCCGGGGAACGGTGGTCCGGCCTGCGGGAGCGCGGTGGCGGGGCGTGGGTCGGATGAAGGGAGCCCGGCGGCCTCAGCTGCTGTGATTTGTGATGGCTGAAGTACGGCTGCGTGTGCGCGCAACTTTTCCGTGCTGTTTCCTGGGAAGACGTTAAGTATACTTGATCAGGCTAAGTGAGGTTTCTTGTTTTAATACGTACTTCTTTGTCGGGGTTGGTGGTTTCAGGTCTTCGATTCTGTTTTCAGCTGCAGCAATTTGCATTTAGTGTAATGCGTTTAAACACTTTTGGTTTTGTTTTGCTTGTCTCTGGTGTAGTGCAGTGAGACACTCGGGTAGAGATTGTGGAAAGAACTCTGGACAGACAGCCTGTCCGTTTCTCTGTGCATGCCATTTCTCCTAGAAGTCGTTGTGACTGATGGCATGCTTTGCAAATCACTCTAGTCTGGCAGCTACCAACCATCTCAAAGGATTGGGTGATGCACTATTGCTGCCCTGTTTATTTAAGCTGGAGGTAAATAAATAAATACATAGGAGAGGGGATATTGAGAAATAAATTAGGAGAGGTGTTTGAGTCTGTCTGAAATGTGGAAACACATTAGGGCTGTGGTCTGGTCTGGAAAGCCGCTTTGGTAACAGACTGAATTTGACGTGTATTGGTACCCTTGTATTATGGTCCCATCTGATACAAATGTGATTATGATGTAAAGAGTGTTTGTAGTGCCAGTTCCTACTGTTGTTTAGCTGTGTGAACTGGAGGAGTTTTGCTTGGATAACTAAAAGTAACTCATTTGTTTCCTCATTAGTCATGTGACACTTGTTAGACTACTTTAACAAAGAAAAAAAATCAAATTCTGTGCTTTATAGCATAGGAAATAATTTGTTGGTTTTTTTGACGTATTTGAATTCATAGCGTTCTTATAATGCTGCTGTTCTCAACCCAGTTTTTTCATCAGTAACTTTCCATTTCACACTGTTTTAATGATACAGTTGTCTCTAAACATGTTTTCCAAGTCTTTACAAGAACTACTGAATACAAACTGTTTAAAATACACACGGTGAATTCTTCTTAGTTCTGTACTGTGGAATATTTAGTATTGAAATGAATCTTTCTGTGTA